ACAGAAATGAGATTGACAAAATGGATGTGGCGCCCTGAAAATCAACAACCCTTTATTAGTACAGCTATAGATATAATATTATACATGATTATAAGTTTATAATTATAATATGGTATTAAATAAGTAGATATATGTAGTACTAGAGTAGATTCTCAAATGAAATAAATGAATTATATAATGACATTGTAAACTTATAATGCCTTGTTGTATTATAACTATAACATTTTTGCTATAGTCTGCTAGTGACCTACAAGAATCAACAAGAACAACAACCTCGGGTGAGAGGTGAGTGAATAGAGATGGAAGGAGATCTACCACTGACCATGTGAGGCCTGCATATTGAAGGAATCATATACCAGTATCTACATCAAATGAGTCATGGTGAGAAAAAAAGAATTGTTTGATCTCATTTGACTTCTTCCCAGTAACTGATCCCTCAAGCATAGGGGTATAGGGGTTGATCTTATTGGGATACCCTGTGTGTTTTGATACGATTGGAAGAATCCACTTGGCTAGAGCCTTGCTACAGAACTTCACAATGAGTATTGTTGGTATCCTAGCAAGCATTCTTCCAAAGAAAGCTGAGACGGAGATTTGGGTGGTGATCATGCCTGGAACTGCTTCAGCTCATGATGGAACTGGTAGTAGGCTTTTTGAGCCCCGGCCACCGGGATAACATTGCCACTTCTGGTTGTAAATGTAGGCTATCAAATATGACTTCCAAGCCATTGACAATTAGCATTATTAATTTCTTTCTGTAAACGAACTAACTCCGGTAATGCTATATCTCTTTCTCAGCTAAATGATAGTTCTAGCAAAATAAATTGCCCATGGTATTTAATTATCTGCTAAACGTGGGTTTGTCTTGTCCTTCAATTTCATTGCTTTGAGTAACAGAGAGGTTCTTAGGATTTCCAGACGAGATCAAACAATTTGGAAGCTGCAACCGCAGATTTCCAGATGAAAGCGCTGAGGCTACAACCGTGGTGCAGGGGTCTCTTTACGGTTTTGCTTCTAGCCTTGTGCTTTAGTGCCACCAGCGCATTGGATTCAAACACAAATCTTATCATCTTGCGCCTGTATTTGTCGAACCAAAGGCTTTCGATCAAGAATGATTTTTCTCATCTTGATTAAAAATTTGGGAACAATTTATTCATATTACTATAAAAGAGAAAGATAAAAGAGAAATTTGGTAATATAAATTCAACCAATTG